AACCAATCACCAGGGTATGGTTTGGGTATTTTTGTGATGTTAAGGTATGGTGGCACCACCTACCATTACCTTTGCATACTACAATCCCATGACTTTCAGCACACTTCTTTATTAGAGCATGTTTTATTTTACTATATAATTTACTGGGGGTTCTGAGTCATACTCTTAGATTAAATACTAAAATCTATATATGGCAATTCTACAGATTTATATATACTTTTGAGTATAAGCATATATATGTCTATATCTCTGAGTTGAGGTATTATGATTACTTGCATTATTTACATTATTCAGACTGTTATCCTCATCATCATTACCATATTCACAATGTTTTGGCTGTTGTTTGCTCCAGACGTCTTCAGATGATTGAAATTTCGAAACAAACACCTTATTTCGTTCATTGGGGTAGATGGTTCTAGTTCCACATGCCATGCCTTTTTCAAATGTTTCAGTTCTTTCCTGTTAACTCAACTCTCCAAGTTTTTTGTTTCACCACTGTTGTGGCCTGGTATTGAACTCACAACTCTTTGGGTCTAGTCACTGGACCTACCCAACATCTTTATCCACTGGGTCATGTGTCCTTGGAGAATTGAGTTAAAGGGAAATAACTGAGACACCCAGAAGAGGCATGGCATGTGGAACTAAAACAATCTATCCTGATGGACAAAATAAAGGGTTCGGTTCAAAATTCCAATCACCTGAAGAATGCCGGAGCGTACCACAGCCGAAACATTGTGAATATGGCAATGAAGTCCTAATAATTTAAATAATACATATAAGCATATATTTGTTTATGCCATATTTATTTTTATTTTATATTTTTTTTTTTTGAGAATTGTTTTAAAAAGTTGAATGGGGAATTATATATATATATATATATATATATATATATATATATATATATATATATATATATATATATATATATATATTTTATTTTACTAATTTCATCCCAAGCAAGGTGATAAAGCCACTAAAACACCAGGGTTACTGAAAGTGAAAGGGACTAAGAAAACATTACTGAGGAGACAATAATAGTATAGGATTCAAAGACAAAAGATGACGATTGATGCTGCATCTAAATTTTTTAGTTGACAAGAACGTATGATGAAGTGTGAGAGGACAAACTATTGGACCTTATGATTACATCTCGTATTTCAGCAGCAAAACAATGAGACCTATCTGCCAATCTAGTTCCGTGCCTTTAATCCAGGAAGTTGAGGTACCAAAAAGAGAAGCTTATCAGAACAATTGACATGAAAATATTTATAGAAACGGCATAGAGAAGCTGTTACGACTGAAGCTGAGATGCTAGGTCATGGCCAATAGCATTGCAGATTCTTCTTTGACTTTCATCAAGAATCTCAATATATATATATATAGTGGGAGCACCAGACCTGATGTGGCAGCAATATTCAATGCAGGGATGAATGGTAGACTTATAAATGTGCAAGATAGATTCTAGCAAGAAAAATTGTCTGACATGACACAGCAAATTAACTTTCCTAACAGCAGCCCTATCAATTGAATCAATATAATTGTTCCACTCCATGTCTGTGGAAAGTGTTAGACTGAGATGGCACAGTAATTGTTTGAATTCAATGATTCTGATTTAATCAGAATTTTCAGAAGCAAAAATTGTTGGTTTCTTTTTAAAATCAATATTTAAACTTGTACCAATTCTCAACTGACACAGGTTTTGAATTCCGTATTGTCTTCTTAGACTGGCTGCCAACCAAGACGTGTATTTTGTGCTGTCAGTTTCATAATGCACACACACACACACACACACACACACACACACACACACACACACACACTACAGTTCAAAAGTTTGAGGCCACCCCTGGTAATTTTTTAAATTGGCCCAAAAAGTGCTTTTGTACTTTAAATAAGAGAAAATTATTATACAGGGTTAAAAAGTGAAACGTGATTTTTTTTTTTTTTTTTTATTATGAATTTAATGACAAAAAGAAAAAAAAAAGCATTTTCAAAATATTCTCTTTTAGCCTTGGTTATGTTGTAAAATGTTTACAGTAAATCATTTAAAATATTTAGATTTGTGCTAATAATTTTTAATCCTCTTTAAAAAATACTCAGATTCTCATAACTTGGTTACCTCCCATATGCTTTACACCAAACTAAAGGAGTAAGAGTCTGACTGCTATCAAATCAGTCAAGTTTCAATCCCACCTTGAAGCAATCTAGCTACACTGATGAGCTGTGATACAGTGAAACAGGTTGTCTGTGGGTGACTCTAATATATATGTATATATATATATATATATATATATATATATATATATATATATATATATATTAAAGAGAAGAGAGGTGCTGCAAACGTTTTGGGTTGTAATGTGGATTTATTTAGAGAAAAAAAAAAAAATTTATGCTTTGTTTTACATAATTTTATTTATTACACGTGTTTCTGGTCTCATGACCGTCTTCAGGGCAAAAGTGGAGATTTCTACATATTATTAAAAAATAATTAATTTTTCTTCATGTTCAATGTGAAATATTCTCGATATGAGACATTCTCTGTTTGTGTGTTGGTAATCCGAATTTCTTTCTAGAATTGTCAATGAAGAGTTCTGTGAAGGGTCATAAAACAATTAAGGTTGGTCCAGTGAGTAGTTATCGGCATTTTATCTTTTAATGTTTTAGTGACCCCTATGTGCTCTTGGATCTGTTTCCATTTTGGTGTGTTCCTGTCAGCATGCGTGTATATATGCGTGCGTATATTTCCCCTCCATACATATACTGTCTTACTACGAGGAATTCGTAAACTTATATAAAAACAGAATCATTGGTTGTAATTATACATGTATCAGGATGTAGACAAAGGAATTCTGCCTACCACACACACCACATTGGTACTTGATAATGACTGCGAATGTTGAAAGTCCTAGAACAAAACAATGATAAAAGATGAACCTCCAACAGCTTATCAGCAATTTTGGTAACAATACATAACACCTTATTCGAATATTGTTAAAAATACAATAGGAAATTAAACAGACTTTGTTAGTTCTTTTTATCAAACTTATTTGGATGAATACTTAATGCTTCTCTCTCTACATATACATACAATATATATATATAATCTCTAGGTAAAATGAGAACAGAGTACAATTCCAATGTTCATAACATTTAATTTGAAAGAGGGTTCAATACAAAGTAGAGCAAGATATTATTTATTTTAAGATATTACATCGAAGAGCATGTAAAAAATCGCTACACAATTGCAGTCGTGTTTTGGCACATATCAATGTGTCTTCTCGGGCGATTGTAAACTCACCAGTAATTTACGATCGCCTGAGGAGATGCATGTTTTTGATGCAGTAACCTAACAGATATGTGTATGTATGAAGGATTAATACAAATAAAATTTGTTATATTCAGCCCCCTCAACTCTGGAGGTTTATAGACAAACCTTATTGTAATTGTTCTGACTGTTTGTCAAGAGGTTTTACCAATTGGTTGTGGATTTTCTCATTTTTATTTTCATACTAGGTTAAAACTTGTATGTGTGCACATGAGTGAGTGCACTTTAATTTATGTGTGTGAGTGAGTGTGGTTTAAAGGCAAAATAGAATCTTGCTTTATTGTGACCACTCTTTGTAGCTGAGTGGTAAAAGCATGCCAGATCAGATGGTGGTTCCTCCTGCTAAGAGGGGATAGAGATTTTAATCCTGCTGGTGGGCACATTTTTAAGTTTTCTCGACTACACAGGCCAGTAGATGAAAGAAATACGGTTTAAAATAAACTGGTATCCATTAAAAATAACGTTTAAGTATATGGCTGTCTACTTGATTTCAAGCATGATTACTACTTTCTTACATGTAAGAAAGTACCTTAACTCTGAGAGATTTTAGTGAAAGTCCCTTGTACAACATGAATGTGACTCTCTGAGCATCGACAACCAGGATCTAGAGACAAAAATGATAAACATGACTGGTGATGGTTTCAGGCACAGGTTTTTAATTCAGGGTTGTCCTTTTCTTAGATTGGTTGTCACCCAAGGCTGAAGTGCCAATTTAATCTATAGCTGTACATATTTAACCCATAGTCGTGGGGGGGGGGATTTATACCTTTTGTCAAGGATATTTGTGCAAAATTGAATGCAATGAACTCAACTGGAATTTGTACTTGGGTTGCAGATTTCTCTTTTCAAGCAATTGACACCCCCTGCGCGCACGCACACACACACACAGCACAATGTTTTTAAAAAAAAAAAAAATGGAAGAAAAAGATGAAAAAAAAAACCAACTTGCTGTCTAGAACAGTGGATGCCAACTGGTGGTCCATGGACCATTGGTTGTTCGTGCAAAATTTTTGA